CCGTGTGCCACTGAAAATAACAAATATAATTTTTAAATATTAGGTATAATTTTTATAAAAATATTTTCTGAGAAATATTTTTCAGATTATCTGCACAATAGGATCAAAATGCAAATCTTAGTTTTGTACTTTTGCAACCTAGGAGTTAATGTCTTTTGCAATAGGACTTAAATACATATGAACACTAACTGCGTAGATGGGAGGGAGAAATGAGAAAGGACAAGGCTATTGTAATATTGGTGAAATATGTTCTGGAAGATGCACTAACTTTGGTTTTTCAGAAAGAACCAAAGATGTCAACATATTAAGTTGGGTCTTGTAACCTGAGATCACTGGATATATTTCAGGGATTCAGGAACTTCCTTATGCAAAATGAATTTACCACGAGAAAGGCTAGACAAATGTCATCAAATTCTTAAAGGGATTTATGACACCGAAAATAAAAAGAAAATCACTGTTAAAATTATGTTAGTGCCTTACTCCACAGAACAGACACAAGCATGAATTTTAAAAAATGAGCAAGAAGATTTTCTAATTCAAAAGACACTTAAGTTTGTGCTTAGAGAAGGCAACAAATTTTTCCTTAGATAATCAGCATCCACTATTCTTTTGCTTGTTACTTCATGTTTAGATATAGATATTCTTAAAGCTGAGGTATATCAGCAGTGCTAATAAGCTAGCAAAACCTACAAATTAATTATTTTCTCTATTATACTTTATAGCTTTATATCATAAGGAGGCTGGATAAATTTCAGAAGTCATTTAGTTCAACACTTGGCTATAGGCGAATCCATATCCAAATCATCATAGATAGGGGACTGTTTATTTTTAAGAATCTGGAGTTCCCCTGTGATCTCTGTGTCATAGCAAGAACTCTTGGCATCCGAAGATTTTCGCTTCTGCAGAGAATCAAAGACATTCTCAGCATTACCTAACTATGATGACAGAGTTTTTTCTTTTGGTCTGTGTTTCCCAGTCCGGGGTGTTCTCCTGTGCCATTAGCATTAGAACGTCATAATGTGGGTGGATAAGTACTCCAGAAATGACAGTGGTGCTGGTGGGCATGTAAGAACAGATTAGAAAACTGACAGTCCTGTGCCAAAGGAAGCTATCCTCCAAAGACATGAGCTAAGGAGGCGACCCAATTAGTCTTTGTGTCTCTAATTTCCCTGATTACATATCTCCTTTCACCCTCTGTGCTGTATCTAGTAAGTTCCCCCAGACACAGACCTCATCAAGATGGCAGAATATTGATGCAATGCAATTTAAAGTAGGGCCGTGTTATGCTAAGATATGTGGCCAAGGATGAGACCCAAACAACAAGGGAAGCCCTGAGGCATAAAAAGTGGCTGGTCCAGATAATGTGCTACTCTGGATTTCAAAGCAAATGATGACAGAGACAACCAAATGTCAGCTCGCAGTCGGGAAACTTCACTGGAGACAGGGCAACTTCCTGAGGACTGGGGTGTGGAAGCAACAGCAACTCAGATCACACTCTCTGCGTGGATTAGCAGATCCAGATGGGCGTTTCCTTGCTGGGATCCTGGGCATGGGTACCTGTGAGTTTTATAGCCCCTGGAAAGGAAGGTAGATCTCTGCAAATCCCCATGAACTTGTGCTGTGGGATATACTGAGCCACAAAGAGCAGGTCTTAATCAGGCAAGAGGTTTTTCTTTTAAAAACTTGGATCGATTTTTCATATGTTGAAATCTGGCTCATGCTGAACCCTTCTTTGGGCTTAATTTATTAAGCAGTGAAGCAGAGGGGTGAAGGGGCAAACTCTGGAGGCTAACTGCCTGGATCAAGTAGCTATTGAAGAGCTATGTGAACATGGGCAAAGGACTGGACCCATTGAAGCCTCAGTTTCACCACCTGCAAAATAGGCATAGTAATAGAATGTAAAGTTTGAACAATGCCTAGCGCAGAGCAAGTCTTTACATAATGTTGTGCAGATAAGATAAGTTTAAAGTGTTTGGTACAGTGTCTGCCATAGAGTCAATGTTCGATAAGTGGTACTTTTGTTACTATTATTACCATCAGTGACAACAACATTAAAGAAAGAATGGCAGATAAAATGATGGAGAAAATCAGAAAAGTTCATGTGCCAAGGTTACAGACAAATGGAGAGAAATAATGATCTGTACTGAGCAAGGCTTAACATCTTGATCATTAAGGGAAAAGAAAGGAGCACACGATGGTAATAAATTAGGAGGAATTGGGAGTATGGAGAAATTATCATCGTTGTTTCCTTTTATTTGTGTTTATTGTGTGGTAGCAGGGTGATTACCAGTTTTATTTGAATGTTTTATAAGCTGTGGGATTTATTTACTGAGAATGAACAGATAAACAGGAATGCTGTTCAGCTGTGTCAGGTCATGGGCTCTCATGGCTCTTCCAGTAACTTTCAGACAAGGTTAATTAACAAGAGAAGTTCACTGTGGAGGGAGGAGGAGGGGAAGAGCTGTATCTGTTGGATGACTCATCTTATTGAGGGAATGGGATGAATCACCTTTCATATTAGCAGTTCTTGGGAGGGGCTGAGGCATTGGATGGAGACTATTACGATATCTTGAGAAAGATGTAATGACAGGGTTATGTCAGAGGAGGATGATGACTTCAATATATATGGTTTGATGGAAATGGGAACAGCTCTTAAATCTTTTTCCAATCCTGGACGTTCAAGGTTATACTTTTTAATACTTTGTTTCTCAAAGGCCCCTTCTATAGCAAAGTGTCTAAACCCAAGGCGCTCCAGAAACACCCTTCTTCCATATGTTTTCATAGTGATCCCTTCTCATTCACTGCTTATAGATGACATGTCAGGGAGAACTTCTGTGACTCTCCTACCTAAAGCGGTCCCCACCAATCACCCCCTCACATTACCTCACCTCACTGTCTGCATAATAGTGTAGCCTAGTGGTTAAGTGCATGGGATGTGGAGCCAGACTCCCAGCGTTCAAACCCTAGCTTGGTCTCTTCAACCTGTGATGTTGGGTATGCTAATAAACCTCTCTAGGTTTAATTTCTTCATCTGTAAAATGGAAAAAATAAAATTATTTTCTTCTAGGATTGTGGTGAGGGCTAATACATGTACACTATAGCATGCCCAGCATATTGTAGTATGCATAAGTATTAGCTATTGTTATTTTGGCCATCATTGCTTTCTGAAGTCACCTTTATTTATTCACTTGATTCACTTGTAATTGTCTGTCTCCTTGTTAGAATATAATGCCATGAAAATAGGAACTTTTTATTGTTCAGTTTGAGTTTCCAGGACCTAGAATAGGCTCCATAGTAGTAGTTCACTAAATATTTGTTGAATTAATGAATGAAAAAATGAAAGAACGTTCTATCAATATTTAAGAAATTAGCTTGTCCAATTTCAGGTCATGTTGCAAAAACAGCTTTATTTAGGTGCCCTATGGGAAAACAAACAAATAGAACCCACGCAACTTGGTTTCCTGCCTAGACTGAAACTATTTCTGTATATTAGTTTTTTGCAAATTCAAAATTTTACAGTTTTACATGTGAAAGTAATCATTTTTGTTTTTCAGAATACTAAATTATAATTTATTGAATTATACTAAATATTGCTTTTTCAAACAATATCTCATCTGTCTCACCTTCTTCCCTCATGAGTTATGCCCCCTACAAACGAGTGAAAATCATTAAAGGTGAAGAATAAATGCTGACAGACAGAAAAGTAATAGTTGAAAAGAAGACCGATAGCTCCTGAAAGCTAGATTGCAAAGAATGCATCTTTCTTGCATTAAAATTACCAGTATAATGCTACACAGTTAACAACTAATACATGTATTGTGTTCATCAAAGCAAGAAAATACAAAATGGTCCTAAGGATAGAGTCAGTTTTTTTCCTCCAACATATCCCTTTGTATCAGGCCTTGTAGGGTAAAGCTGCAGCAGGTGGAGCTGACCAGAACCTCTCTTTTGCTTCGAACCTGTTAAAGGTTAAGGATGTGCCACGTGTGCCTTTCAGACTGTAGGACAGCTCAGCTAAAGGTCGTTCACTGAAGGGCTTGCTTCCCCACTCCTTTCTTTCTTTCTTTTTTTTTTCCTGAAGAATTCATGTCAAATAAAGTGCCTGACTCTGACTTTTATGCCTCTGCTAGTCTCTTGATGACATATAAGTTTTTAAGGCCTGATGATAATGACTGTTTCTATCCCCAACAGTGGTCACCCTAAAGAACTGAGCTGTCAGAAGCCCTAAACTTTAAAACTGGGAAACACTGTGCTGGCTGCATCTATAGTACATTCCATTTCTATTTCCATTCCATATAGAATAAATATTATTTGAGAGACTGGTTAGTGCGTTGCAAAATTGATACAATTCGTGTTGCCAAAGGCATTTCATAAATTTCATAGGTCTTAATTTATGTTGCTATAGTAACTGAAATGTTGGAATTTCTTGAGATTAGAAGGCTTTTATAGCTTTAATCTTAAAATGATGATAATGTAGATTATGACTGCAGACTTGTTCTTCACTGTTGTTGGGAACATATACTCTGAATGTTCAATAATTGTAATGTCAAAATTAAGATTTCTGATTTCCAATCTGATTTTCTTATTTACACGTACAAATTTCAGTGACCAAGATGTTACTCAAATGGACAGTCTTCCTCTAAAGAGAAGGGAGAATTTGAAGGGGGAAGTGAGAGAAGTGGAATTCTTAGACGTAGCAGTTTTAGAACACTCATTTTAAAGACTGATACGAATTTGGCTTATTTTCTCCAACAAAGTGAATTTCTAGCATGTGCTGAAGCCTTTGGCACATTATTAACAACCGTTTTAAGAAAAGATACTTTATCGAGGCATTTGGCGTACCAGCGATGTCTGAAGTGAGACTAAGGTGTAATGAAGATGGCTGAGAACCCTATGGGCAGCTCAAGGTTATGTGGACCCAAAGAAGCTAGGAAACTCAATGCAAATGACCTAGCATTGACCTAAGACAGAACCATTTCCCCTCCCAGAGCCCAGCTTACCTTATATCCTGATGATTTGATATGCACGCCGCGTTTGGTCAAAGTGGATTTCATTCGGATGAAAAAGGAACGCTCAAGGGTGTTGTCAGTGGTTAGCAGACTGGGGCTGGTTGACTCCACTGAAGAATACAAAAATACATACACACATGATTTAGATCTCTAGCTACTGCTCAGGTGCAATCCTTGAGTTCACTAAAAATAAATGACTGATGGGTGCTTAGAGTGTAGTAATCAATTTACCTCATTTAGAAAATGTTTACTTTGCAGAAAATAAAAAAGAAAAATTAACGTATCCAAAGTAATTCCATTCCAGTTTCTAGCAAGAGCATTTCAGGCCTTTTAACTTCCAGTAGCTCCCTAAATGGGGTCTGATAGTAAGTAACATTATCACATCTTGAGACTTGGCCAGTGCATGTGGAGAGAACTGTAATGGAGAAAAAGGACCTCGTAGATTTATGGGATCAACCAAGACTCAGGCAGAGATGCTTCCGAGGAAGGGTAAGGATGACTTGCTCTTAGTTCTCCCTGAGAATCCTTTCTTGTATCATTTGCCTACTGGAGAGTTCTGAGAACCACAAAACCATCATGGTCATGTAGCTGTACCCTGGTCAGTGCCCTCGCCCTTCTGAGTTGGGTGTTTTCATTGTGGGGAATAAGAAGCATGGAGTCTTCTCAACTCACTCAAGGTAGAGGGCTAAGATTAGGACGCACAGACAGAAGCAAACATAAACTACTCCCAGCATCAACTTTCCCTTCCTGTCACTCATGGCAGCTTGTCTCCAGCCATCATCTCAATAGGAACAGTCTCTGTGTTTTCACATCTCTGCTTCTGATATGAGTCTCCTCTCTTAAGCAAGATACTTTTTTTTAAGTAGAATATGTTTTTACTTATAAAACTTAAAATGATAGCTTGGAGTCTTGCTGATAGAAAAACACTTTCGTGAAAAAAAATCTAGCAGGCAACATAAATCTATTTTCTTTAAAAACAAGCTTCTATGGTATTTTGTAAATTTAAGTATTTTCCTGTAAAAATTAACTTTTGGGTTTTAAAGTTTAATACATACTCTAATTTTATTCTTCCAAAATAGTACTTTTAAAGTTTTTCTTATTCTTGAACAAAAAAATAAGTTTAACAACAAACAGGATTTCTTTTGAGCATCCCTACACTAATAATGCTTTTCTCTGGTGTGGTGATAAAGATTTAAGAATTAAGTATACGGTATGAGAAAATCTTATTAAAACAAAGAAAAATAGGCAAAACAAACTTTAAAATTTTAGATTATAAAATATGTGCATATATTTTTAAGGAAAAGAGATCTTTATTATTTATATCACGCTTGATGCTCCAATGAAAAAAGAATGAGAGTTACTATAATAATAAAAACCTTGCTATTTGTGGTCTGGGGCTTTTCTTGTATCATTCCTATCTTAATGTGACTATATTTTCCTATATTTATGGCATTTCTATTCTGGGGTGATGGAACCACTGACAAGTGTCCTTTTCTTGTGTGTCTCTCTTAAGACGTTTTTTCTTTGTTTTGTTTTAGAGAGCATGGATCTGATGTCATTTTAAATGTACAGCTTTTTATCACTCGAGGGAAAAGCAGAGCCATGTTATATTTAGTACTTTCATTTCTTCTGATTAAATATGAATTACTATGAAATTTTTCTCATCATCTAACATGCCATAATACGCCAACAGCTTTTTAATACACTATATAAGCACAAACTTCTGCTCTAAGAGTTTAATTTGCCCCTCTAATCCAATCACATCAACCTTATTTCTCTTATCAGAGATTCCCATTTTGAATTAAATGAGCTCATTAGTTTTAATCAAAAGCAGAGAGATCAAAACTTAAACGTAAATGCTTTAGATCAGAACTGTCAGTCAGCCGTGCAGTTCTATTTTACTAAAACACAAGATCAGAGACCCTTAGAACCAATTTTTTTCTCGTAAGGGATGCCGAGAGCTTCAAGATGCTATATCCCCCCTCCCCGTTTTTTTCCTCCCAAGGACAGATTATACATTTAAGGTTAGACTTAATTTATAGCAGTTTTTCATCCTGGTGGAAATAGAAAAGTATGCCCATCTACTCTTGTCCCTTTCACATTTATTGGCACTGGTCCTCAGAGACTTGAACTAACGTGCAGCCATCAGAATCCACACCACAAATTCAGCCTTAAAAATTCAGCTCTGTTCAGCAAGACTGTGTTTGCAAGAGCTGAGGACAAATGAAACTTCCCAGAGAAGCGAAATACGTTATAAGGCTAGGGTTCTGGATACCCTAACCTGGCAAGGAAGAAACAACCTACCTGTAGAAGAGTGAGTAATTTAGGCATCATTGGAAATTATTATTGTGTTCAGTATGTGGAATTGCACAG